TAATGGACCAGGTGAGAAAATAATAATAATAATGAACAACTATATACTAGAGACATTTTATGGGCATGGAGTGGGGAATGGAATCAAAAACAGTGGGGGGAGGGAAATGCACTGGACTATGGTGACGGCAAACGGGTGATTTGGTGATGGGAAGTCCACAGGGATTACAACTGAGATGGAAAAAGGCACAAAATGATGTAAAAATAAACTATTATAAAAAAAAAACTTTCCTCTAATGGTAGTTACAGAAACACAATGGAAGTCTTATAACCAAAGGGAAGTTTAAACACAGCAAAAAAGCCTGACTTTCCTAAAGTAAAAACATAAAATTGGTATGACCTAGTTGTCTCCAGAATGTCATTTTTCTCTATGGGTTCATTTTTCCTCATGTAATATATACCTCTTGTGATCCGTACCTTTCTTCGTCCTATGTTGCTGGAAGCAGAGATCTCATCAGCTGTGTTAGCACCTGCATCAATTACACTATTACAGAACAGATGTGGCCTGTAGGAAAACTGTGACTGCGTTAAGATACAGATACACACACATCCTGGTTTCAATGGTGCTTTACTAATTTGCTTAAACAGAAATTCCACTCACAGGTATCACAGTGACTGTTGGGGAAAGAAGGCAACAGCCACTTCCTGGTACATCTGCAACAGCAAGCACTCTTTATATTACACATTCATTCTTATCACTTCCTCTCACTCAGATCCAATCTATCACAAGTTGGACCAACTGAACCTTCAACATATTTCTCAAATTCACTTACCTCTCTCCATCTGCATGGCAATCACCCTTAGTACAAGCCACATCATTGTTTGCCTTGATTACTACAAAAGCCTTCCATTTTATCTGTCTGATTTCAACCTTGGCCTGTTTCAAATGCATTCTCTACCCAAGAGCCCCCACGATTTGTGAAAAACTGGATCACACCATGCCATCCACAGGCAGCTTCCATTGCTCTTAAATGAAGCCCTGCCTTCCTCTTCAGCACAATCTATACAAGCTCTTTGGATTGTCGGGATGTATCTGCCTCTGGGTGATTGCAGGGTTCCTCTCCTCTCCAGCCCCTTTCTCTTCTCTTCACTAGAAAAATTCTTCCCTTATTCTTCAGGTCTAAGCCTCAGAGAAGCTATTTGCAATTCTCTTTAAATCATGTCCGTCCTGCTCTTTCCTCTTCTGATACCCTTTCTCTTCCTCCACAGTTTTCACAATACATTATTATTTATTCATGTGTTCATCTGTTCAATGTCTCTGTCTCCTCAAGGCTCTGAGCTTCCTGAAAGCAGGTTACCATGTCTATTTTGGTTACCACTATTTACATTGTATACCTAGTAACCAGCACATAGTAGGTAGTAAAAAATACTTATTCAAAGTATGTTTGAACTTTAAAGACAAGAAGGGGGACATATTTTAAAATGAAATCATAATCAAATAATACCATGAATGAACATGAGGGAACATCTTTTATCATCCAAATGAGCAATGACGTTGAAATGCCCTCCTCTTCTTAGTCATTTCATTCCAGTGCTTAAAGCAAGTTAGGGTTATTTATCTCAGGACAGACAGAAAACTGGGTCTTTGGGCATGGGTGGGGAGGGGTGGGTGTAGGACAAGACGCAATCCATGAGAGGTGGAAGGGTTACCAGTAAGGCCCCATGCAACCTTACAGGGGATTCCCAAGAAAGAAAAATAACTTAGCTAGTAGTAACATTGCTCAAATTTTCCAGTCTATTACAAAACACCTAAATGTGGTTAGGAAGCCCAAAAGAATAAGCACTAACACTGACTGCTTATAATTTGTGAATTGTAGTCTCTCTCTATGGTCATATAAGTCATTTCTCTAAGTCCAACTTTCTCAGGAAAGCAATCATTTAGTCTTTACTTCTCTCTAACAACCGAGTTTGCCTTTGGCAACTCACTATGGCATCTTAAAGACACTTAATAGTTCTCTAAAATTTCTAATATTTATTGTCATCCTGATCCTTTCATATACAACCAAATTCCTTCTCAATTCTTCAGGAGAGGTAAGAAAATGATCACTCACCCTCTCTTCCTATCTGGAAGTATATGACAGTATTAAGTTTCAAGATATTTAGTTACACCCTGGTCACTAACCTGAATGGATATTTATTATTTTAATCTGTCCTGAAGAATTTATTTTCCTCAATTGTGTTGCTCTTTTTAGAGTAAAAAGGTATTTATGAATCAATCCAGTATCCTAAACTCTATGAGACTAGAGGTCTGAGCAGAGACTCTCTAAATTGGTCACCTGATTCTGCCTCTCAAATTCATGTTTGTTTTATGATGAGATTCAACTGAGACCCCAGGTGTTTAACAGGTAAGTGTAAGTGCAAAATCATTTCACTTCAATTTCTTAACTGAAGGAGACATGAATTATTTCCTATAAATATATCCTATCAATATGTCAGCCTCTGTTTGGCGTTTTAGATGTATGTCACATGCTAAATCCGAGGTCTACAAAATCTGAGTCATAAAAGGCATAGTCTCTTGACTTCAAAAATAATAGATGGGGGCTTATCAAGAGGTCAAATGGAAACATTGACAGTTAGCTCTTAAAATCTTGGCATCAGGATTCATGACAGAAGTCAGTTTCTATAGCAACAACTCTAATTTGCTGTTGATTCACATATATACTCACATAGATGCACTCTCATACACACACATAGACCTGTAGGCCATGATTTGAACTTTTCTTTTGCTTCTGGTTTTAACATCTAAAGTAGAATTAAACCACTAATAAACTATTTCAAATAATTTTCCTGGCCCAACCAGGATGTAACTTCCATCTCTCTAGATATCTCATGGCTCCAGTAATTTTGCACACTCAAGTGATGTACCAGGCATCAGATAGGCTTAATTTAACTGGGTTCTCCCAAACCTTGGAAAGTCCCAGGAAATGGTAGATGGAAAATATGCAATTTCACCTATCTGCTAGAGGAGCAAACAAGCCTTCCTTTGTAGTTATTACCAAAAAAAAAAAAAATCAGGGGGAGGGGCTAAAAAATAACTAAGCACTATTTTTCTACAAGTCAACACTATGACTACATAGTTCACATAATAGAGAGGAGTAAGCATCTGGGTTTAGGATTACATTAGAGAGGATAAGAAAAATAAAGATACAGAAGCTGAACCCTTCCTGGAAAAGAATTTAAGAAGAGCTTCATTCTTCACAAAATATTAACAACAGAACTTTTTGAGTCCACACACAGTCTCCATAATTCAGGAACCCAGAAACATCTTACAAATACCAATTAAGTCTGACAACAAGCTCCACCTATAAACAGGGAAACTTGGGTGTATAGAAACCAAGCAGCCTGAAGCCTAACAATGAGTCAGGACCCAAAGTGAGAAGCAGGCCCAAGAATCGTAATCCCCATCTCTGGTAGGGAGATTCCATCTATCTTTCAAGGGAATAAAAGTTCACAAGAAAAAAGGATGGCAGAGACAGAAATTAACATCCACACATCCTGGGATGGATCAAAACAAAAGACTTAGTCAGCTGCTCAGCTGGTGCTGAAAAAGAAGCCATGCAGGTCCCAAATGTCATTTAATCAGATAGAAAATTAGCATTGCTTCAGTTCATCCTTAGCAACAAACAACACTGCTCACCTTATGGTTTGTAAACTGATGCCATGAGACACTCCATCCAGGCTCACCTCAAGGCTCTCTATTTTTATCTGATTTGAGCTCAGAAATACCCATTCATCTTTGACCAGATAAGAAAATCAGGTATTATATTTGCAAGCATGAAACTGGACCCACCCCACAGAAAAGGGAGTCTGGTAACTTCAAACCCTCTGGCTTTTCCTGCCTCCTTCACTAGGGAAAGTTAAAATACTGTTTATATCTAAAACACACCAAGTGAATCAGTATGCTTCACAAACTGTAGGAGTTAGGTGGTCACATGATGGGTTTGCATCTTCAAGGACCAACAAAAGAACCAGTTAAGTTAAACTAGCTTCTAGTATAGTAGATTAGTATAATCCAATGTTCCAGTTACAAACACCTGTGTAAGAAAACCAATAAATCGGTAACACTTAGTAGAGAACTGTCTTTGCCCAGGCTGCCCTGCAGCACTGAGATGTCCTGCACAGAAGTCTTGACTGGGGATCTAACTACAGGTGATCAGCCACTCATGCAGGCACAGAACTGGAGAGAGGCGAACAAACTCTGTGGGAAGCAACGCTTATTTCCCAGTTAGACTTCCTCAAGAACAGGCCCTGCTTTTGGTTCTAGCCATCAGTGGGAAATCCTTATTAATTAGGAACCCAGAGCAAAAAGGGTTAACATTTTTTTCAGTCTGAAAGTTAAGACCAAACTGTTCAGACATTCTTTAGGAAGGAGGGGCAAATTCTGTCACCAACCCCTTTGTGGCTGTGAAGTGGAGGTGGAGGCTAGCCTTCACCAGGCAGCCTGCATTCCCAAGCCCTCATTTTAATGCCCCTTCTTGGGCCCTGGGTGAACCTCCAGAGCCAAGGAGTTGCCTGGGCTTTACTCCCCCAGTTACTCCCCCTGGGTCCAGTAATTCTCAGCTCGAGGAAACATCCACAAGCCTTCCATATAAGCTAAGGCTTGTCTCAGAAACACAATACCAACACGAACAAGACGAATTCACCAACCCACGTATACTTTCAATTCATCAAAAATTCATTAAGTGCTTACGGATGTTCCATGCTCTGAGCACGTCCCTCACATTCAAAATCACCCCAGGACCTCTCCTGCTTTCAAAGAGTCCACAAACTGGGACGCGACGGTCGAGGAAGGTGAAGCTAGGTGCGAATCCTAGCATGGGTGGAAGGGATCGCGCTCTCTCTCGGAAGTCATCCCCGGGTCAGCCCCCAGTCCCCTGTGGGGCGCCTCACCACTTGATTGCCGCGCTCATTCTAAAGGGACCTCGGCGCCCAGGTTACACTGGGCACTGTCTGCACTGCCCGCCGCTTCGCTCCCTGTCCTCTCCCCTGGCCCACACTTACTGGGTCTTCCTGCGGCCCTGGTCCCGGTGCAGGTCCCTCAGGTCCACCTCGGCACGGCCCAGGAACTTGTCCAGGCCGAGCAGAGCGCGGTGCAACACGGTGAGCTGCAGGGTGGCGGCGGCCGCGGGTGCGGCCCCAGCGGACAGCAGCGGCGGCAGCTCGAAAGTGGCCTCCTCCCGCCACACCGGCGCGCCCAGGCTGCGCTCCGACACCGAGGTGGCGTACTTTTCCTTGCCCACCTGGATCACCGCGTACGCGTCGCTCGTGCCCCCAGGACCCTTGGCCCGCAGGCCCCGCGCCTGCAGCACCGTCACCTGTACATGCGTTGGGGACCACACGGCCCTCGGGCCCCGGCCCGCCGAGGCCGCCAGCGACATGGTGACGGCGCTGCGGTCAGCTCTCAAGCAAAGTGAAGATTGCCACGACCCACTGTCTCTACTGCCCGCCCCGACGCCCCGGCCACTTTAAGGCTTCCGGCCACGCCCCCACCGGGGCCCGCCTCCCCCGGCCCCGGCCACGCCCCTCCTGCGCCTCCCTGCCGCACCACCTGCGGGCTCCAGCCGGGCACTACCTCCGAAGGGTGCGTGGCAACCGGGCCCCGGGGGCGGGGCTGCCTGGACGAGCCTGGAGGACATGTGGGCGGGGCGTGGGGCGTCAGGGACTCTCCGGTCTGAGAGGTGATAAGTGAGGGAAGAGGTACCCATGCTACAGGTCGCGCTGTCCAACTGGAACTGACCGCTGCACTGACTCATTTCCAGGCGGCATCTCTGATTGGCAGGGGTGTGACCGCGTACAGATTACGCAACATTTTTTGGTCTCAGTTTCTTCATCCGTGAAATGTGAAATGAGATAATAATCATCTCATGGAATTGCTATTTAAAAATATAGTAATAATGTAGCCTGCCACTTGGTGAGTACTCAATAAACGGTAGTTATCAGAGCAATAATGAATAGGAACATGATCCCAAAGTCACTGCTCCTTCTTCTTTAGACTGTCAGGCTCTGTAAGAAGGCGGTTTGGGGATGGTGCCAGGTAGGTGGGGAAGGAGGAGGGCCAATTGACCTGAAAAGGGGAAGGTAAGGGTGGGGGGAGTGACCTATTTTGCCCTGCCCTCACCAAATAAGGTGAGGTGAAGTAAGGGGAAGAAAGGAGGAACTGAAAATAGGATTGCCAAACCAGACATCAGCAGAGGCCACCCCCACATACACACAACCCACCCCCACATACACATACCCCCAGTTCCACATTTCTCTCTGGATGGAAACTCTCAGTCTCCATCAACTCCTAATCTGTGGTGAAGTCACTGCCTGTGATTTCCTTGTTCCAGATGTCTATGAGATTGGCATTTTCCAATATCCTACTTCAAAGACTCAGCAGTTGGAAAGGGTCACTTTGAAGGTTTTAGGATTTTCAATTAAGGACAGGCCTAGAGCAGAGACGTTTCTTGTTCAAGACCCCACAACCTCCAGCCAGGACTAGAAACCAGGTCTTCCAACTCCCATCCAATATTCTTCCTTCATCCCTTGGAGCACTATGAATTTCCTACCTGTTCTCTGGGCTCTCCACCCTCTGCCCCACGCTACACATTTCTGCCCCAATCTGCTCTAAATCCTACAGTGTTGACTCACCACCAACTGCATTAAGTTCAGGCTTAACAAATTTCATTCCACTTTGGCCCCACCCTAACTAATTCTCCTCTATCTCTGTATCCTGAGCAAACTGTAGCCCAGATAATTTTCCCACTCCCGGGCAGGCTTTTACTGACTTGGTTGTCCTCTATCAACCTCTAGGCTCAGCCATGCCCTTCTGACGGCAAGGCTTCATTCAGATTTCTCCAAAGCTTATTTTCTGACAGCCCTTTTCAGACCAGGAACTAGGTGATAACCGATTAAATTGTTTCCACCACAGTCCCAAGCAATAATCTGGGTATACAGAAGGTTCTTAGGAAGTATATGGAATTGAAGAGTTCCCAGCTCTTCCAGCCAACCATGACTCCAGAGTATTTTCTTTTTCCCTGTAGTAAATCACGCCTCAGACATTATGCCTCAGGTTTGTAACTGAGGATAACTACAGTTTGGGAAAGGTTTATTTTGTACGTTGTAAATATTTAACAGTGAAAGGAGGCACCAGATATGAAGTGGAACTCTGGGGTTTTGGAGCTATTTTCCCTTTTCATGGTCTGTTATCCTCAGAGCTCTATTCATTATCACAATACTTATCGGGAATTTATCGTGGCCCACATATTCAAAATGCCACTGTGGGTTCAACAATGAACCCACAGGTGTGGGTTCCTTCCTTCCAAGGTACAAATACTATAAAATACTATATAAAATACTATAAAAGAAGCCCTGCATTAATGAAATATTTGGGTGGTTTAAGAAGAGAGACATTTTCCTAAGTGAGGGAAGGGGTTGGGAGTGATAAGAAGGAAGTGGCTGAGAGCTAGCTGTAAAGAATCTATGAAATTTGGTGGGCACTGAAGTGGACAGGAAGAAAGAGGAGACAAACAGAACAGCTAAAGCAAATGTGTGGAGTCAAGTTTAGGGGTTAAGAGTATTCCGTTGAGGTAGGCATGTGGGATAGTTTAGGGGGGCACTGGGTTTAGACAGTGCAGGTGAGCCAATCAAGGTTGGCAGACCTCCCAGCTCATGCACATCTGTCTTACAAAAGAATAAGGAGCTTTCACCAGTCTTGGGCCAGGGTGAGAAGGCCATCAGAGGATTTTGAGCAATGGTATGGTCAGCACTCTTTTTTTTTTTTTTTTAAAGATTTATTTATTTATTCATACAGAACTGGGGTACAGCCCAGAGGTGCAGGGGTGGTGAGATGATTCACCAGAGACAGTGGGGAGCAGAACAGGCAGATCGACAAAGTAGACTGCTGAGGGGAGCAGCGGGCAGGTCAGGAAAGGTCTGCCACCATGTGGATCACCTCAGGGGCAGGCGGGGATCGAACTCATGTGGAAGTGACTTCTTAGTGTTGTGCTTTAACCTGCTGCGCCACCAGGGAGGGCCCTCAAGCACACTTTTTAAGGCAGGTGTGGCAGAAGTAGCCTGGCAGCCAGGTCACAGCCAGATACCTTCATTTGCGCTTAGGTAATGCAAGTGCTGCCTGGCAGACTGTCTGCCTTCTGCTAGGTCCTACCCCACTCACTACCCATCCTTGGTGTCTACCCAAAGTTGGGACTGAATTACACGAGGCCTATAGTTCCCTCTTCGTTGTTCCACTGTCCCCTACTCCACTCCATCCCAACTGAACAAAGTCAGAGATCTGGAGTAAAAAATGATTCTGGGAGTAAAGTTTTTCAATTCTGGTTCTACACACACACATACACATACACACAGAATGACTCCTAGCTGGATTTTCTCATAGGCTGAGCATGGCACAGATTATCCCCTCCACTCATGGAAAGGATTAGAGGACAGAGAAGGAGGGAGAACATGACAAGCTAGGAGAAATTATGAGCACCTTGTGACCTCATATGTTTGGGTTTCAGTCAGACACAAATAGATTCTGTGGTTAAAGCATTGGTGGTGGGTTGGGGGAGGGCAAGTCTTCTCAGGAGAGATCAAGATCAAGATCAAGATCCTTCTTGTTCAGACACTGGACACTGGCAGAGGTTAACTCAGAGAGGCAGAACTTACTGGAGGCAGGAGTTTGACATTTATCAGGGAAGAGTTGCCATCTGCAGGACAGTGCTAAGGCTCTGGCTTACTGCCCTCCGGGTAGCAGGGTGGTTGTTTTCACCCCTCCCCCAGCCAGAGCACATTGTCTAACCCTCAGGACTCAACCCGATTGACCACGCTGGAATAAGTCCTGCTCACAGTGTTACAGACCCACAGTACTGGCAGGGAGTGCGCAAGCGCAATGAAAATGACCGGACAAGGCCAACCAGCCCCGCCTGTCATCGGAGGAATCCACCTGGGTTGCCCCGCCCACTGCTCCTGGGGCCCCACAGTCTGAGCCAGCTGACCCCTGGCAGGTTCGCTGAATTCCAGGAGTGTTTGTAAACACCTCCCACAGCGAGGGTGCGGCCAGATGATTGCTCTTTCCTCTGACCCTGTCAAGTCTCCAGCTCTGACTACAAGAGGAAAAGAGTTTCAGTCGGCCCCTGAGCACGTGAACAAGGGCCCTGGCAGGTTAGACTGGACAAGTTAGCCGCATTTCTACCCTGAAAAGCAGACCAGCCCAGCCCTGACTCCCAGCTGGCTTCCTAGGCCTTGGCCTAGGGCTGGGCCTCTCCACCAGTGTACAGTTAGTAGGGTCGCAGATTTGCTTTTTGGCTCAGCTAATGCAACTTCCCCTTCTGAGATGTCAAGTAGAATCTTGCCAAAGGTAGGGAGGAAGGCATGCAGAGAGACTTTCATTGTCCTGCTCATGGCCAGTTGCGCTACCCCACAACTCCTCAGCATCTCCCAACCGCAGGAATATCAGATCCTAACGTTAATATATGGGGTCTCTGACTTGGCTGAGATGCTATCCCAAGGGGAGAACAGAAAACTAGTAATGGCTGCTTGTCTTTTTTTCTCCTTTGCCTCAGACCCTGGGGTGTGGTGACAAATGTTTGCACAATGACTCATTCACTGGGATGCTCGGTAAACAGTCTCTGGCGTTTCCAGATTGATGGGAACGGTGTTCCAGGTGGTGGTTCTAGGAGCAAGGGTCTCCTGAGCCTCCTGAGGTCCAAGACCCCTCAGAGTTTGGCCCAAGAGTTTGGCACACTGTGAGAGTGTGAAGGTTAAAGGGATAGCCCACCTGAACGGAGGTGGGCTCAGCAGGCACCTCTCCTACAGTCTTGTTGATAGCATTGCTTTTTTAACAAATGATGTCACAGATAAAGCAAAGATACTAGCTTTTCAGTGTAAGCCCTTTCAGAAAAGGCCCCTGAACCCCATTTACCTTCCCACTTTCTGCACAAAGCCTTCCCTTTTGCCTCTACCACTCAGAATCGTGCTTGTTTCCCAGCTTATTTCTTATACTCTGATTCATTACTTGCTTTACTCACATGTAAGTATTTTAAAGTCATAACATGTGGTCCTTACCTTTTCTACATCTCTCGATTCCTGGCAAGTAAAAAGCAGTTTATGTTAAATAGAAGAGACATACATGACTTAAAACCTTCAGCATTAGCTCATTCCGCCCCTGCTACCTTTAGCACTATCCTATACAGCCATCTTCTGAAACATAAGGCTTTTTTTTTTCTGATTGTGAAGGAAACATGTGGTCATTGTAGAGGCTAACAGTACTTCACCTTTCTGAAATCAGTTTCATGGTATGCAAGACCAAAGCAGAAGTTGTAAGTGTTTATTCCTCCTTTACTTGTCCCATGGGAAACTACCCCACAGGGTCTTGTTTTCTTCCTGATCTCTTCCTTATATGCCATGAGCCTCCACTATCTTAAATGCTAGGGCCCCTGGAC